CCAAGGCACCAATTTAATCGTAGCTATCGCCACCGGCATACGAAACATGTTGCAAGGGGGGGGTTGACGACGAAACAGCCTTGATTCGCCTGAAGGCTTATCACACGAACAGAATTCGGAGGCGGTTTTACCTTCGAGCCGGCTCGTTTTCTGACAGGACGAACTCGTGATGTTTTCAAACGTCATGGACTACTGATCGACTAAATTTCCGCCACGACCATTAGGTGGGGATTTCAGTAAATAGTAGTTCTGGTGAAAACGATAACGATGGTATCGAGGGTTATTCTCTTGAGAGTCAACGATGATGAAACAAGGGGAAAGGAAAGAAACGAAAATGAAGACGATAATGGAGGAGGAAAACAGCATGGAAGAGAGCAAAGGGTTTGAGCCAGATAACCTTCCTCACAACAAACGCCGCAGGACTGGAGAGGACCTGCCAGAAAAGTAGTGGGAATCTTGGCAACGCGAGTGGTGGTGGTAAATGTAAGGAAGAAGACGAAAACAATGCAAAACGCACGCGCATCCAAAGTAGTAGCAGCCATGGCAAACGCGTGCAGTTTTCTTCTGATACTGCTACGGTATCTGTCGTTAATCCGGAGAGTAGCGTAGACTCCCCCACGACACTTTGTCCCAGGGTCCCAGATCGGGGCCTAAAGAAGATTTTGAGTTTTCCACTGCACTGAGACTGACGTCTTTTCATTGTCAGCCGGTTAGCGCGGTCGATGCTGAAAAGAAAACACACACACGCACACCCTTGTGGGTAGCACCCTTCCAATTAGAAAGCATCTTTTCGCGTTTTTTTATCCAACAAAAAAGACTGACGTTCTTCCATTGGTCAGTGCGGTCGATCGATGCTACTGCAACTCAAAAGACACACACACGGGCCGCGGGCACATGTAATTCTGATGTGTGGCAAACGTCGCCGCGGATTAGCGGGGAAAAAAAAACACTCACGCACACACAGTTAATGGCGTTTAGAAGTGCTTTGTGTTTTCAACCGCACCGACTGACGAATTTTCATTGGTCAGCCGGTAAGCGCGGTCGATGCTAATAATAAAAGCACACACACACAAGCGGCGCGTACATGTGCATCTGATGTGTCAAAGCACCGCATGTGTATCTCTGATTTGTGGCAAAGGTAGCCGCCGAAGACAGGTGAGACACTACCGTTACGTTACCTACCTCTCTGGGAACGCTCCCCCTGCATCGTCGAAGTTAGCCAGGCACGCCACCGCCGCCAGCTTGTCGGTCATGCAGTCGGCGGCCTCGAACTGGTCGAAGCAAAGCTTGGCGGCCGCGGCGTCTCTGGGCTCGTGCAGGTAGGACAGGATGGTGTTGCGGAGGCGGCGACGGCCGACCTGGCAGCACAGAGAGAGAGAGAGAGAGAGAGAGAGAGAGAGAGAGAGAGAGGGAGGGGCGAGAGGGAGAGCAACAGGGGGAACGAGCGAGCGAGCGACAGAGACAGAGAGACAGACAGATGGACAGCGGCAGAGGCACAGGCAGAGAGAGAGAGATAGAGACAGAGACAGAGAGACAGACAGACAGACAGACAAAGAGGCAGAGGCAGAGAGACAGAGACAGAGACAAAGAGACAGGGACAGAGAGACAGAGGAAGCGAGACACACGGAGAGAGAGAGTTAGAGCGAAAGAGACAGAGACAGATAGACGGAGACAGGGAGACAGGGACAACAACGAGAGATAGTGAGCTAGAGACAGGGAGAGAGAGGCGAGCGTCGGGGCGCACATCGTTGTAAGTTGGAAAACAGCAGCCCCTCTTCGACCAACAAACGCGTACGTTGAAAAGTCTTCGGAACAACTCGCCAAGTGGGCATGTCTGGATTCAGAATGTGGGAGAAGACCGTCAGATAGGTGACACGAGCGGATGGCTTCTTGGGCGAAATAAGAAGAAAGCACGGCGGTGATCATCAGGTGTTGGAACGTTGCAAGAACCACTCAAGAAAAAATTACATGGAAGACTGGGTGGAGACCACCGGAAAAAACGGATTTTCGCTTTGAAAGAAAAAGCAATGGCCCGAACGTGGTCGATCGGTACAGCGCAAGACACAAGAGAGCATAGACGGCAAAGACAAACAATATATTGTGCCAGGTATGGTATTCAGTAGACACATCGCACGAAACGACCCGCAGTAAAAAAAGAGCGCCCACAATAACAAAAAACAACCCAAACTCCCTAGAGCGTCCCTCCCCCCCCCCCCCCCAAATCCCCTACCGCACCTCCGCCGAATTCTTCTTGTACGGCCCGCTCGGCGCCGCGCTGTCGTACACTGACCGGAGCTCCGACGCCAAGGCATCTGCCAATGACCTTCGCACGTGCCTGGAACACACAACACAAGGAAGGGGGCCGCAGACAAGCAGGAAAAAAAAAAAAAAATCACAATGTGCACGAAAGCATCCTGCCTATAGAACGAGCTCCGGTATTCAATCGGAGGCAAGCAAAATAGAGGAGCCGTAAGTACAAGGGCTAAGGGATATCGATGAAAATGGCGGAGTATGCGCCAGGAAGGTCGACAAACACCGGCTGGAGACAAAAACAAAGTTTTTATGCGCAGTAGCAACGGAGGTGTGTGCAAGAAGCTCTACGCGGCTGTTCATCTGTCTATCTCTCCACTCCCTACTTGAGAGCCTTGTACAGGGCGTCCGGGTCGATGACGTCCATCTCTTCGGCCAGCGTGGCCGGGTCAGGCAGCCGCAGGGCGTATGCCTGGAGGGACTTGTCCGGGATATCCTGAAAACGAAACGATACGCCGTAATCGCGGGAGCGAGAGTGCGACGCGGGAAAAAAACATGAAAAAATGGAGGGACTTGTCTGGGATATCATGAAAACGAAACGATAACACCGCAATCGCGGGAGCGAGAGTGTGAACCGGGAAAAAAACATTCAAAAAAGGAGGGAATTGTCAGGGGAATTATGAAAAAGACACGACGCGGTCGAGAGAGCAAAGCGGGAATAAAATTAAAAACCACTGTTTTTTTACACAGATCATGAGCTACATCGCTCCCCTACATATCGCCTCGGGCAAACATAAAACAGATCACCTATGAAGTACCTATCACAAGGAACATATCCTTGAAAGAGCTAGCTCGATCTGTCGGGATCTGATCTGTCCCATGGGTGGAAAAATAGTACCACGTGTCATTTCAACAAAGAGTGCGGTGACAAATATCGAGCGGGCCCATGTGTGCAGGCTCTCATACAAACCAGCGTAACCTCTCGATCGTCCACTAACACGTGGACACTGCATGCTGCTGCGCAAACGTAGAGCTTGTGTCCAACAGCGTCGTCACACCTTCACGAGCTTGCTTCCCCCAAACAAAACATAACATAAAAGACGACGACTATTCTTCCAACAGTGTACCCCACAGCATCAACATCAGACCTTGACGAAAGCTTGTTTCCCCCAAACAAAACGGCCGCGACCATTCTTCCAAAAAAATGCGCACAAAAAAACGGTCTTGATATGTATGTCTTGTCACCTTCTCTAAAAGCGTGGCCCGGAAAGAGTCGATCAAGCTCGCCGGCAGGGCGCCCGGCTCTCCACCGGCCTTGATCTCTTCAACCATGCCAAGGATAACGCGGGTGCTCAGCTGAAAAGAGTGGCGTGCGGTGTGCGAAGAGAGGGTGGGCGGGGGGGTTGGGAATGAAACTTCGCCGCCTACCCCACCATGAAGGCGGGTGATGCTGCGGGGTGTGTGGGATTTAACTGATCGTCGTGCGGGCATGAAACCATCGTGGGGGGGGTGTACTCATAGTCGTGCATGCCGTAGTCGTTTGACCATTGACCTCGCATCCCTACAAAGCCGGGACGGAGCACGCCGGGTTCTCACCGGACCAGGCTCTCACATCACCAAGCGCGAAGCGCCGTGAGGTATTTGGCGAGTCGCATGAAGGGTGAGCTGCATCCTGCTAAGGGTGTTCGGCATCTTGTGCTTACTTCCTTGCGTACGGATGACAGCTACGTATGACTTAATTTATTTTCTGGTGCTTTCACTTCCAGAGACAGTTGTAAGCGCTGTGTAACTGCCTCGAGGAAGCTTGACCATTTTAACACAACGAGGTGCGATCATCCCCCGTTGCGCGGAGTGAGGTTTCTCGACCCCGCACAACATGTATCTACTCGACCACCATTATGGTTACCGCCAAAAAAAAAAAACCGAGGTAAAAAAAAAAAACAGTAACCTGGTTGCCGACTTCACGAAGTGAGTTGGCTTGTTTTACAACGTCGTTGCCAAGCGACGAAAACCCAAACCCCGATGGCAAACACCGGGGGGGGCGGCTTGTTTTACAACGTCGTTGCCAAGCGACGAAAACCCAAACCCCGATGGCAAACACCGGGGGCGGCGGCTTGTTTTACAACGTCGTTGCCAAGCGACGAAAACCCAACCCCGATGGCAAACACCGGGGGGGGGAAACCATCGTGGGGGGGGGGGATAAATAACGCCGGTCGTACACGGGGAACTGGTTGTCTTTGACAGCGTGCGACAGAATCGATCGACAGCCGATGATGTTGGCGCGATAGTTCAGATCCGATCAACGTTTACACCCCAACTGCTGGAGAGGAGAAGCAACGTGAATCATCTCCTCTCGGCGGTGTGGAGCCAGCGCCATTCTTCACAATAAACCACTCCAATTTACTACAGTCGAAAATCAATTCCTGCGTTCTAGGGGACCCAACAAATAAAACAAATACTCGGAGTAGAAAACGGTCATCGTGAAAGTGATCATGCCCAAAATGGTGGTGGTTCGACAGCCGCGATCTACCGTTGAATTTCCACTGGATTGTGTTTTTTTTGTTTTTTTTCTTCGCTTCAAATCAGCGCTCACAGCACTAGTGCCGTTTATTCCAACCCGTGGTCACACAGAAGAGCCTCTCTCTACCCTCCCCTCCTGCGGTACTTCGCCTTCAATTTTTAATGCGAGAAGAGTTCAGCACTCTCTTCCCTCTGTGTACACACGAACTAGCGCTATCCACTTGGCCAGGAGCGGAAGCGAGAGAAAAACTCACTTTGCAAGAAAAGCTCGCCTACGCCGGGATTCGAACCCCTGACCTGACCTCTAGTAGTTACAAGGCTACCAACTAGACCACCGGGGCATGGGATGCAACAAAGAAAAAATGTGTTGGTTAGCCTTGAATAGATATCGAACGAAACATTGAATAGTCCTCGAAATTTTGACAGCGTGGTGCAACAAAGTGCCGCAAACCGTCCGAACAAAATCGAGGGAATGTTTGGACTCCTGAACGGTCAATTGGGGTCCTCGGTGAGGGACCCCCGCGCCGGTTCCATAAAAAAGACTTTCACTTTTCATGGTTTTCCGCTCCGGGATAGGTCAAGGAAGCTTTCCAGCGAGTTTCTCCTAGCCAAGTTGCTCGTGAGAAGTTGTACAGCTGACGCAGCAGGGTACGCTGTGGCGTAAAAGGGGCCCCGAGGATACAATCTCTTACAAAAATCAAGTATTTAGTTTTGGAGGAAATCAGGATGCGGGATTACTGCATTGCACACAAGCTGAAAACCTCGCGCCATTTGTTGGACTTAGACCCTGAAACTTTGCAAACATGCACTTCGAGAAAATTCGAAACTCTGTGGTCTGGATTATTTTCTTCTTCTAATTTTGTCGCCGGATATCCGGGGTCCTATAGGTCCCTGCCTCCTGGGATCCAGGATACCCGGCGACTGGAAAGCAAGAAAAGGAGAACAGACCACAGAGTTTTCGCATCTACCCAAAGTACATACGCGAAGTGTCCGAGTCTAACTCACAAAGAAGGCGTGAGGTTTTTTCACGTTGGACATCATTGGATTCATCTCCGTCATGTACTAAACAAAAACAAACCTGTCCCTATCCATAGCCACCTCAACACACCTGCTGGCCGGCCTCCCAGCGGTTGAACGAGTCCGTGTCGTGCTTCATGAGGAACGCTAGGTCTTCGTCAGAGTACTTGTACCGCAGCTTCACGGGCGCGGACAGGTCCCTGAGGGAGCGGGGGGGGGGGGGGTACCCTTATGTCCTTTAAACCTTGGCGGTTAGAA